TGGCATGACACTGTCATAAATACGATATGACACCTGTCATGAACATGAAGTCTTTATGAATGTTTATAACTGTTTTTGTGAAGAGTCATTCGATAAATAATGACATTTTTAATGCAAAGTTGCATACCATGCATACTGTATACCATGTCCTGAAGGAGAGATCAGTAATATGACAGGTTATATCATATATTTTTCACATAGATTTGCAACACCAAATACTGACTATTAACAACTGTTTTTGGCCATTGTTTTCAGATTCACCTGATTGTTTTCCATGTCCAAGAGAGTTCTGGCCTAATTCAAAGAAAGATGCTTGTCTACCCAAACCAGTTGAATTTCTTTCCGTTGATCAAGTCCTGTCTACCATTCTGGCTATAGTCTCAATCAGCGGAGCCTTTTTAGCCATTATTACAGCAGTGATTTTCTTCCATCACAGAACAACTCCAATTGTCAGAGCCAACAACTCTGAGCTGAGCTTCCTGCTGCTCTTCTCTCTGACTCTGTAGTCCAGACGGCCAGTCCTCCCCTGGACAGAAGTTCAAACTGAATGCAGCTTTTTATTTTCTGTTCAAATTGTCAACCTGCAACGTGCGTTGCTCCAATTTACATGCCACTTCATACTTTTACCCATATTTGGCCAGTGGCAGGTGCTAATTTCCACCCCTGGTTAATGCAGAAAGCAGTGAAAAACCCCCAGTGCAATCTATATGTGTTTCAGACAATAACACATAAAATGCACAGCACATACACGGATCAATGCTTCTCAATTTTGAGATATTTTTTTTAGTTTTCAGATAAGCTTTAGCTTTTATGTTAGGAATGTCAGAGATACCAATTTTTCTAAAATATACAGCATTATTTCTGGATGGTTACAGTCATTTTCAATAAGTTAGAATTTACAGTCCAATTAGGCTTATTTTTAAATAAATAACCTTCTGAAATACCCTCTAGGCAGGTATTAAAGGTATTTTTCATTGAGCCCACTTTCCTACGTTAAAAAAACTTAAAATACTGTGGCTGGCAGTTCTCTGTGTGCTGCCTTGATCTATTTTCCAAACTGTTCAGCACCTCTCATTTATTTTAGAAGGGACCATTAATATCACAAAATATGTCAGCAATACATTAAAACACAGAGTGGTTGAAAGAATCCCATAATCATTGACTGGAACATTTATCTTTAATTATTCCCCTTTTCTTTAACATTCACGTTAAAGAATATAAGGGACAACAGCTATGTATTTTGGTTTTGATATCTTCAGAGGTTTATGAAATGAATGGAACATCTCATAATTTAAGAAAACATCTGCTAAATCTTTACACTCTTTCACAGCTAACTACCTCCACGTACTCTCAGCTAGAAGCAAACTTTAAAATTTAGTCACATTCTTCAACTATTTATGTTTATTTAATAAAAGAGAAAAAGAAAAAGACAGGAAGAAGACACGCCTCGAAACGTAAACACACAGAGATCCTCCAATTAAAACAATCGTTCTCAGGCTGCTGGTAAAGAGTCAAATCTCCTCCTCTGACAGAAAACCAATGATATAAGAAGGATAAAACACATGTTGCATGCACATGAGGGATGGGCATCTCAGCTTTGATTAGCGGCCTGACATTGGCCTTGTGTCTCCTTGAGGTTAGAACTGTGGCTGGTTGGGGTGGGTCTGATGGTAACGCTGATGGGGTTTCATCTTTGAAGTGTACCTCGCAGGGTACTGCTCATTTACCTGCCTTCTCAGTGGACGGCGACTACATCGTTGGAGGTGTTTTCTCAATCCATGCCAACATGCACATGGTAGATAATAACTACACCACAGCTCCCGAGCCTCTGAGGTGCACAGGGAGGTTAGTAAGTGAGTAGAGGGTGGAAATGATGTTGAACTGAAAAGCTGAGATTTTTTTGTTTTCCAACGTTGACATAGGCTGTGATAATATGGCTTAGTTGAATTTTTCTGTTTTAAATCTTTTAAAAATTTTTTTTATAACTTTAAAAGAATGAAAAAAACGTTTTCAGGGTTAGGTTTTATTGAATAAGATGGTTCCTCCTTTTTGACTTTGTACTGATGTGTACTGTATCGGTCAAGCAACATTTTCTTCTGGATTGCTTTCTAGCAACATGTCAAATCACTTTGACTTTTAAATGCGTAAGCTACACACTCATACTTTGTGTGTGCAGAATAGACCCTCGTGAACTGCGCTTCTCTCGTGCGATGATCTTTGCCATTGAGGAAATAAACAACAGCACAGAGCTGCTGCCTGGTGTGAAACTGGGATATCAGATCCACGATTCTTGCGCATCTGTGCCTGTCGCCGTGCATGTGGCGTTTCAGCTGGCGAACGGCCATGACTCTGTGTTTCACACAGCTGATAAATGCTCTCAGTCTGGTGCGGTAATGGCTGTTATTGGGGAATCTGGATCCACTCCATCCATCAGCATGTCTCGTGTTATTGGGTCCTTCAAGATTCCTCAGGTGGATAGCTTCGTATGTCGTTTTCTGCCTAAGGAAATCGTCTCTCTCCTGCTGTAATTCTTACGCATGTAAGCTTAATTTGTTTTTTGGTTTTAGGTGAGCCACTACGCCACCTGTGCCTGCCTGTCAGATAAGAAGCACTATCCAACTTTTTTCAGAACAATTCCCAGTGACCAGTACCAGGCTGATGCACTGGCCAAGCTGGTGAAACACTTTGGTTGGACTTGGATAGGAGCCGTCCGGTCGGACTCGGATTATGGAAATAACGGCATGGCGGCTTTTCTTGAGGCGGCGCTCAGAGAGGGGATCTGTGTGGAGTACTCTGAATCCTTCTATCGGACCAATCCACGCAGCAAAATCCGAAGAGTCGCTGACGTTATCCGGAGGTTTCTGTATCTGCTGCATGTATACTTTGTATCGAAGAGTTTCAGCAAATTAGACAAATATTCAATTAAAGAAACTGATTTGAAGAAAAAAAAACTGCTATATGTTATATAATACTTTAATAATTTCTCCTCAGATCAACATCAACTGTCGTTGTGGCATTTGCAGCTCCAGGCGACATGAAATTTCTTCTAGAGGAGCTGGCTGAAGACCCCCCTCCTCCTCGCCAGTGGATTGGAAGTGAGGCTTGGGTAACGGACCCACACCTGATGAGTTTCAGTTTCTGTGCGGGGGCCGTCGGTGTTGCCATTCAGCAATCTGTCATTCCTGGTCTGAGAGACTTCCTTCTCAACCTTTCTCCCTCACAAGTGTTAGCCTCTTCAGTGCTGTCTGAGTTCTGGGAGGATTCATTCAACTGCAAGCTGACAAGTGAGACAGTTTACTTGTATTTTCCTGAAAAGTAAATGTTCAAAGTGAAAAAAATGCCGCAAAAGTGATGAACTTTTTTCAGCATAATCAACCCAGAACATATTCAAAGAGAAAAATAGTTTTAACTACTTTTAAAACAATAACCTATTATTATTTTTTCTACTGGAAAAAAAAAAAAACAACTTTGAATGTTCTTCTATGATAATTCAGCAAAAATGTTTTTAACTACTCAGAATGAGATTTTTCTTATGTGTAAAGGGATTAATGCCACATTTTAACTTTTCAGATAAAATGCTATGGGATCTTTCAATACTCCCTCAGAAAGTTTTGTTGCATTTTTGATAAGATTTTGTTTTATCTTTCCATGTCATTAGGTTCTGATCTAGACAAAAAGACGTGTGACGGAACTGAAGACATTAAAAAACTCTCTAACCCGTACACGGAAACATCTCAGTTAAGAATCACCAACATGGCATATAAGGCTGTTTATGCAGTAGCACATGCTATTCACAATGCAGTTTGCTTGAAAACAAATGTAACCATACACTGTGATAAACACATTAAACTGGACCCAAACCAGGTATGTTTGAATAGAGAGTGGTTTTAAACTAATTCTTTGACAATACATTTGTCATTACTTTTGTTACATGGCATTTAAATGTAAATAGTCTGTTCCTTTTCCCTTAATGCTGTGTTGCTTCACAGGTTTTCTCAGAGCTGAAGAAAGTAAATTTTTCCAGAAATGGTTATCATGTGTCATTTGACCCCAATGGTGATCCAGTGGCTTTTTACGAGCTGGTAAACTGGCAGAAGAGTGACAGAGGAGTTAATGAACTGGTAAAAGTGGGATATTATGATGCATCACTGCCAAATGGCCAGCAGTTCCACATCAACTGGAACATAACCTGGTTGGAGGACAGCACTGAAGTAATGAAACAAGAGAGAAACTTTTAAACAGATACACCTTTGCTTCGTTGTTGCTACATGAGAACATCATTTGTTTTGTGATATAGGTACCAGTTTCATCATGCTCAGAGAGTTGTCCTCCAGGAACTCGTAAAGTGTTGCAGAAAGGAAAACCAATCTGCTGCTATGACTGTATACCATGTCCTGAAGGAGAGATCAGTAATATGACAGGTGATTGTAATCATTTCAAAGCACCAGCTTGGCAAGAAATATCAATGAGTTAACAAATGTGTTTGCTTTATATTTTAGATTCTCCTGACTGCTTTCCATGCCCCAAAGAGTTCTGGCCAAATGCAAAGAGAGATGCTTGTTTTATTAAACCCGTGGAGTTTCTGTCCTTTGATGAAGTCCTGTCAATCATCCTGGCTGCAGTCTCAATCAGCGGAGCTTTTCTGGCAATCGTTACAGCAGTGATTTTCTTCTATTACAGAACAACTCCAATTGTCAGAGCCAACAACTCTGAGCTGAGCTTCCTGCTGCTCTTCTCTCTGACTCTGTGTTTCTTATGTTCACTAACTTTCATTGGAGCCCCCTCTGAGTGGTCCTGCATGCTGCGGCACACAGCGTTTGGCATCACATTTGTTCTCTGTATCTCCTGTGTTCTTGGCAAAACTATAGTGGTTCTAATGGCCTTTAAAGCTACACTTCCTGGTAACAATGTTATGAAATGGTTTGGTCCTGTACAGCAAAGAATGACTGTAGTATCTTTTACCTTTATTCAGGTTATAATATGTATCATATGGTTGGTTGTGAGTCCTCCCGTCCCAGTGAAAAATCTGAGCACCTACAAGGAGAAGATCATCCTGGAATGTGCGTTAGGCTCTGCTGTTGGTTTCTGGGCTGTGCTCGGCTACATCGGCCTGCTGGCTGTGTTTTGCTTTGTGTTAGCTGTTCTAGCTCGGAAACTACCTGATAATTTCAACGAAGCCAAGATGATAACATTCAGCATGTTGATATTCTGTGCCGTCTGGATCAACTTCATCCCAGCTTATGTCAACTCTCCTGGAAAACTTACTGTGGCTGTGGAGATATTTGCTATTCTGGCCTCCAGCTTTGGACTGATACTGTGTATATTTGCTCCAAAGTGTTTCATCATTTTATTTCAACCAGAGAAGAACACTAAGAAATATTTAATGAACAAAAGTTAAGTATCCCTTTTAAATTATCTGGAAGCAATATGGTTGAGTTGTTTATGTTATGATAATTCATGGCAATATATCAACTAGCATTTACATTTGTAAGCAATGTAAATGTTAAAGTCTTTGTTTTTTTTTCTCCATATATGTCTGAATTTACTGCTGTTGATCATGACTTGTACTTAAAAAGAACAACCGACACCTATGTACAAAATGTACCAAGGCTAAACATCAGCTGTTTGCTTAAAACATTAAGCCATAATCCTCAGAAATACAATAAAGACTTGAAGTCGTCACTATGTGTAATGGATCTGTATTACTTATGACTTTTTGAAATAGGTGAACATTTTTACAGTATTTTGACTCTTTTGATATATCAATGTATGTCTTTGACCATGGAACACTGCATATTTTTGATTATTAAATAAAGAAGATATTGTCTGATATATTAACAAAACTTAAATCTGCCAGGGGTATGAATAATCTTGGGATTAACTTTATGCAACTTGGCCACAATTGTCAAACCTCTTTGACACAAAAAGGTTCATCTCGAATTTTAACCCCTTACAAGGTACATTTGGCATTTGATGGTTTATCAAAATTAAAGCAAAACGCTAAAAGAAAAACCCTCAATTGTCTGAAAATGAGCAATGCACATAAAGCAGTAGGTACATACAGTAATACCTGACTACTTTTTAAACTAACAATGTGAAGCACATGAAAAAAAATAAAAAGAATAGCTTCACAACTTTACACTGTCAGACTTAAAGTTTTATGCTGAGAATCTTAAAAGCACAAAGCAGCGACATGTTCATAAAACTAAGGTTCAGCGACATGCAGATCTGATTAGTGTTAATATCTCAACAACAAAGCAAAGACGTAAGTAGAAAAAAAAACTCAAACACGAAGGTCGTCCAATTAAAACCCTGGATCTCAGCCTGTTGTGCATCGACATTCACTCCGGTCTCCTGCGACAAACAACAAACGCTACATAGAAAAGCTGAAACACACCTTCATTCTCTTCAGGGATGGGAGCCTCGGCTTTGTGTGTTGGCCTGGCATTGGCTCTAAGTCTGCTTGATGTGAACACGATTGTTGGTCTTGCTGAATCTGTCAGTAGCCCGGAAAAATCAGCGGGTCTTCCATCCAGCGATGCTGGTTTGATGGCTTCAGTGTGCACCCAGCAGGGTGCCGCTCATACGCCTGCATTCTCTGTGGATGGGGACTACAGCATTGGAGGCATTTATTCTATCCACCACAACATGCACACAGTGGACAACAACTACAACACAGCGCCTCGGATTCAGAGCTGCACAGGCAGGTTAGTAAGTGAGGAGGTGGAAATGATGTTAAATTCTGGTTAAATTATTATTTTTTCTCCCCCCATTGCAGCATCAGCTATTGCTTATTTTATATTGTATAAATATGCATCACGTGTATTTTCTTATTTTAAAATGATGGCTGTTCTATCAAAGCTGCATTTTTTTCTTCCTTTAAAACAAAATGCTTATGAACATTTATTTTAAATGGAGAAATAAATACATTAAGACTGACGATTATAATTATTATGACGTTTACATTGTTTTAAACTTTGCAATGACATGTATTAGTGTGATGTTTTGTAACAGTATACTAATTGTCCTTGTTCTCTGTATTTCTGCTGTGTGTGCAGGGTGGACGCCCGTGGTGTGCGCCTCACTCGAGCGATGATCTTTGCCATTGAGGAGATCAATAACAGCACAGAGCTGCTGCCAGGAGTCAAACTCGGGTATCAGATCCACGACTCGTGTGCCTCGGTACCGGTGGCCGTGCATGCAGCCATTCAGCTGCTAAACGGCAATGACTCTGTGTTTAAATCGGGCAACAACTGTTCTCATTCTGGTGTGGTGATGGCTGTCGTTGGCGAGTTTGGATCCACGTCATCCATGAGTATATCACGTGTTTTGGGACCGTTTAACATTCCCCTGGTAAATAATTTCAATTTTTGCAAACTGAAACATTCTGCTTCTTTGATTATTTTCATGAGCCTCATTGTTTTTGTTTTTTTGTGTGTTTGTTTGTTTTCTTTTTGTAGGTGAGTCCCTACTCCACGTGTGCCTGCCTGTCAGATAAGAAACAGTATCCGACGTTTTTCAGAACCATCCCCAGTGACCAGTTTCAAGCTGATGCACTGGCCAAGCTGGTGAAACACTTTGGCTGGACTTGGATCGGAGCCGTTCGGTCGGACTCGGATTATGGAAATAACGGCATGGCGGCCTTTCTAGAAGTCGCACTGCGAGAGGGGATCTGCGTGGAGTACTCTGAAGCCTTTTATCGGACCGACCCACGCAGCAAAATCCAAAGAGTGGCTGATATTATCAGAAGGTTTCTGTATGGCCTACATATGTGCCTTGCATTGATGTGCATCATCAAATCAGATAAATATTATATTAAACTAAATTATTTCTTTTATTATGATTGATTTAAAAAAAAAAAGCTATTGATGCAAATTAATGCAATGATGCATTAATTTGCATTGATGCATTTTATGTCTCTCCAGATCAACATCAAAAGTTGTGGTGGCTTTTGTGGCAATTGGAGACATGAAGGTCCTGTTAGAGGAGCTGGCTCAGGAGCCTCCTCCGCCTCGCCAGTGGGTTGGAAGTGAGGCCTGGATCACCGAACCACAACTGCTGAGCTACACTTTCTGTGCCGGGGCCATCGGAGTTGCCATCCAGCAATCTGTCATCCCCGGCTTTAGAGACTTCCTGCTGGATCTCTCTCCCTCTGAAGTGCGCGGCTCTTCAGTGCTGACTGAGTTCTGGGAGGATGCGTTCAACTGCAGCCTGAGAGAAAGTGAGTTGTTGTTTTTGTTGTTGCTGTTTTTGTAAAAATGAACATATTTGAAATCCCAAAAGGTCCATTAAGTTGCTTGCTTCTTTTTTTTATTTATTTATTTTTTTTTTATGTAGATTCTCTGTGTTGGAAAAACGTAGCATAACATAAGTGAAGTATGAGAATGTAAAATAAGGCATGTCAATGCAAAGGTTTTAACATGTGTGGAAGGTTCATATAGTAAATGTAAATACTATAAACATATCAAATGCGAAAAATATACATCAAGTCATCCTGCAAGAAATTATGTGATCTACATATGCTACAAGTCACAAGGAAGTCAAAGACTTTTGTGTCATGAATATGAATGATTTCGATTTCATTCTTCAATGTATTCAACTATGCACAACAAAAAAACGGACTAAAACTCTTTTTTTAAGAGTCATCATTCTGAATCTTTTTTTTGTATTTTTAGGCAATTATACATCCAAAAGAACGTGTAATGGACAAGAGGACTTGACGACACTCCAGAGTCCGTACTCTGACACATCTCAGCTGAGGATAACGAACATGATGTACAAGGCTGTTTATGCAATAGCGCATGCTATTCATAATGCATTGTTTCAAAATGTGAATTTCACCCCTTTTGAAACCCAAAGGCTGGAGTCAAAAGAGGTCTGGGAATCAAACACTTTACTGAACTGAAATATCAATCTAATGAAAAATTCTTTACTTTACATCTTCTAATCTCTGTCGCTTTGCAACTCAACAGGTTTTTACTGAGCTTAAGCAAGTTAACTTTTCCCAAAATGGTTACCACGTGTCATTTGATGGGAATGGGGATCCAGTGGCTTTTTATGAACTGGTGAACTGGCAGAAGAGTGAGAGAGGAACAATTGATCCTTTAACTGTGGGGTTTTATGACGCATCACTGCCGGAAGGCCAAAAGTTTCTTATCAACAGGAAAATAACTTGGGTCGAAGGTGGCACTCAAGTAATGATAAGTGTTCAAGCAATACAAATCTGTTGTGCTACTTCTGAAATTATTTTGCTCATATTTGCACATTTTTCTGTCTCAGGTTCCAGTCTCCGTTTGCTCAGAGAGTTGTCCTCCAGGAACTCGCAAAGTGTTGCAGAAAGGAAAACCAATCTGCTGCTATGACTGTATACCATGTCCTGAAGGAGAGATCAGTAATATGACAGGTAGAATCTATTTTTTTATCATTCAAATCTTAACCATGATATACTTAAATACTAATAACATATTATAATGTACTTGTTAGATTCTCCTGATTGCTTCCCATGCCCCAGAGAGTTCTGGTCTAATTCAAACAGAGATGTTTGTTTCCCCAAACCTGTGGAGTTTCTTTCCTTTGATGAAATTTTGGGAATCATCCTGGCCGTTTTCTCTGTTGGTGGAGCCGTTCTGGCCATCATCACAGCAGTAACTTTCCTCCATCACAGAACAACTCCGATTGTCAGAGCCAACAACTCTGAGCTGAGCTTCCTGCTTCTCTTTTCTCTTATTCTGTGTTTCTTATGTTCACTAACTTTCATTGGGGCCCCCTCTGAGTGGTCCTGCATGCTGCGGCACACAGCGTTTGGCATCACATTTGTTCTCTGTATCTCCTGTGTTCTTGGGAAAACTATAGTGGTTCTAATGGCCTTTAAAGCTACACTTCCTGGTAGCAATGCTATGAAATGGTTTGGTCCTCCACAACAAAGGATGACTGTAGTGAGTCTGACTTTAATTCAGATTATTATATGTATCATATGGTTGGTTGTGAGTCCTCCCTTCCCAGTGAAAAATCTGAGCACCTACAAGGAGAAGATCATCCTGGAATGTGCGTTAGGCTCTGCTGTTGGTTTCTGGGCTGTGCTCGGCTACATCGGCCTGCTGGCTGTGTTTTGCTTTGTGTTAGCTGTTCTAGCTCGGAAACTACCTGATAATTTCAACGAAGCCAAGATGATAACCTTCAGCATGTTGATATTCTGTGCCGTCTGGATCACCTTCATCCCAGCTTATGTCAGCTCTCCTGGAAAATTTACTGTGGCTGTGGAGATATTTGCCATTCTGGCCTCCAGTTTTGGACTGATACTGTGTATATTTGCTCCAAAGTGTTTCATCATTTTGTTTCAACCAGAGAAGAACACTAAAAAACATTTAATGAATAAAAATTAAAATGTGGGTTTGTAATTTAGCTATGAAAAAAAAACATCTTTCCAAAAATGGCCTCCAACAAAGAGTTTCAATTTGAAAAGCATTGATCTGAAACATTGAAGTGTGACAACAAAACCAAGTGTCAAGAAATATGTAAGGGGGCAAATACTTTTACTCAAGGTTGAACTCATTAATTCTTGATAGAGTCAAATATGTTAGACCATATTTTGTCAGTTATCATATTTATCTTTATTTGTAAGTAGTTTAACATGTTCTCATTGTCAGGTCCTGTTTTTTTATTGAATATGTTTAGGTGAAGCAAAGAAAAAAAATTAAAAAAACTACACATTTAAAACTAATTAAACTTTTCTCTGTTGCGTCACTTCATTAAAACTTCACACAGGTTATTCATATTTGTGTGAATAGGGGTTGTAGAGACAAACTGAGTACGTCTTGCTCAAGTAAAAGTAAAAATATTTATCTAAGAAAATACACAAAAATTAAAAGGTATTTGGTAAAAGACCTACTCAAGTACTGAGTAACTGATTGAAACGTCAGTCATTTAATATTTAAAAATTATGTCAGTAGAAGGACACTGACACTTACTTAAAAATGTTTTTTTAAAGACTGAAATGAAAATAATTTATATAAATAACATAATTGCACAACATTTTTTTTCCAAATCGATTTCTTTCACCATAAAGATCATGAAACTAAAACTTGTAGGAGGGTAAAGTACTTACAGTGGCAGAATATATATTCTAAATTATATCCAGGGGTTTCAAGGAAAATGTTACAAAGAGACAAAATAAGCAGGACACAGATGTGGACGGGGAAGTAAACACACGAAGGCCGCCCAATTAAAAGACGTGTTGTGGAGCCGCTGTGTGACGGCATCCTTTCTCAGGAAAGGAGGTATATAGAAAAGACAGAACACACCTTCCTGCACTTGAGGGATGGGGATCCTAGCTCTGTTTACTGTTCTGGGTCTGGGTCTGCTGGAGGTGAAGTCAATACTGGTTCGGACAAATTCAGCTGGTCTTCCGGATAAATGCAGCCTGCAGGGTACTGCTCGTTTACCTGCGTTCTCCGTGGAGGGGGACTACGTTATCGGCGGGGTTTTCTCCATCCACAACAGCATGAACACGATGGAGAATAACTACACCACAGCACCCGAGTCTCCCAGCTGCTCAGGGAGGTTAGTGTGTGAGACCAAGTGGATCCTTGGCGAATTAAATGCTGAAAATGTTTCAGTCCTTTCAAGAGATGTGAAATAAATCCCTTAAAAAAAAAATAGACATCGTCTTTTACATCAGAATCAAATAAGATTTGACTGTTGTATGTGTATTTAAAGCATTGCTTATCAATTGTAACTACTGAGGGTGGGCATTAGATGTAACTGAGTTGTTTTTATGTTTGCATTGTGTAAATTGCGTTGAGGGACTTTAAATTCAGTTGGTCAGACTGTCTTTTCCTGTGTATATTGCTTAGGTTTTGTAGTCATGTGGACGCATGTTGAGCATTGTTCTTCTGTGCAGAATAGACCCCCGTGAAGTGCGCTTTGCTCGTGCGATGATCTTCGCCATCGAAGAAATAAATAACAGCACAGAGCTTCTCCCGGACGTCAGGCTCGGTTACCAGATCCATGACTCGTGTGCCTCTGTGCCTGTGGCTGTGCACGCAGCATTTCAGCTGTCAAACGGCCAGGATCCTGTGTTTTATGGGGGTGAAAACTGCTCTCAGTCTGGAGTGGTGATGGCTGTTGTGGCTGAGTCCGGGTCCACACCGTCCATCAGCATATCACGCATTATTGGGTCTTTTAACATTCCACAGGTAAACTGTTTGTGTTTCGGACACATGCAATAAGTTTGTGCTGCTGTATTTGTTACGTCTGAGAGCTTGGATGGCTTTTTTGTTTGTTTTCCTTTAGGTGAGTCACTACGCCACGTGTGCCTGCCTGTCAGATAAGAAACAGTATCCGACGTTTTTCAGAACCATCCCCAGTGACCAGTTTCAAGCTGATGCTCTGGCCAAGCTGGTGAAACACTTCGGCTGGACTTGGATCGGAGCCGTTCGGTCGGACTCGGATTATGGAAATAACGGCATGGCGGCCTTTCTAGAAGTCGCAGTGCGAGAGGGGATCTGCGTGGAGTACTCTGAAGCCTTTTATCGGACCAACCCACGCAGCAAAATCCAAAGAGTGGCTGATATTATCCGGAGGTTTCTGTAATTCCTGCATGTATACTTTGCATTGATGTCCATCAGCCAACTTTAGAAACGTTTTTCCGAATACAAATGCTCTATAATATTTTCTAATAAAAGGTGTGACATGTTAGTTAAAGATGATGCATTTAATGTCCCTCCAGGTCCACAGCAACAGTTGTGGTGGCATTTGCAGCCATCGGAGAGATGAAGATCCTGCTGGAAGAACTGTCTCGAGATCCTTCTCCGCCTCGTCAGTGGATCGGAAGTGAGGCCTGGTTCACTGACACGGACATGTTAAGTTTCACTTCCTGTGCGGGGGCCATCGGAGTGGCTATTCAGCAATCTGTCATTCCTGGATTTAGAAATTTCCTTCTGGATCTCTCTCCCTCTGAAGTGGCTGCTTCCCCTGTACTCACTGAGTTCTGGGAGGATGCGTTCAACTGCACGCTAAGAAAAAGTGAGACTTTTCAGGTTAATTGCTAATTTAAAACACCTAAGTCCTCATTTCAGGCTTTTGTGATAACCGTGTTGGTTAAATGTCAGAGAATTCACATTTCTACTAGTATAAAGTACCTTTATGGAAAATATTTAAACATAATCTGGTATTTTGATTTGAGTTAAAATATGTTTTTCCAACTAACAGTATTTATTGTTGTATTAGACATAAATCATAACTATCATTCTCCATGGAGGCTAACCAGATGAACAGAATGTTATTAGTTTATATAAGAACAAGAGTAAAAGGTCACTGATGAAAATGAGGTTTAGCATTTGCCTTCCTCTTTTTCTACCTTTAGGTGGAGATACACAAAAGAGAATGTGTAATGGACAAGAGGATATAAAGACACTTGAAAACCCGTACACTGAAACATCACAGTTGAGAATCACTAACATGGTGTACAAGGCTGTTTATGCTGTAGCTCATGCTATTCAAACTGCACGGTTTCAAAAAACTAACTTCAATGCTGACAAATCCATCAGGCTGGAGTCTGAAGAGGTTGGGGGAAATTTTCAGCTTTTACCTGTGATTTAGCGTCTCTGAACTGAAATATTATTGACGTAATAATTTTACCTCTATATCTTTCCATATTTATCACTTTGAATCACACTCAGGTTTTAACTGAGCTCAAGAAAATTAACTTTTCCCAAAATGGTTATCATGTGTCATTTGATGCGAATGGGGATCCAGTGGCTTTTTACGAACTGGTGAACTGGCAGAAGAATGAGAGAGGAGCTCTTGAGCCAGTGACAGTGGGGTTTTATGACGCATCGCTGCCAGAAGGCCAGAAGTTCAATATTAACAGAAACATAACTTGGGTAGAAGGGAGCTTAGAGGTAATGACAACAGTTTAGCTATTATTTAACTAAAGTTGCATTATAGAAATATTTTGTTTTTAAACTTCTATTTTGTTTGTATCTCTGTTTCAGGTTCCAGTCTCTGTTTGCTCAGAGAGTTGTCCTCCAGGAACTCGTAAAGTGTTGCAGAAAGGAAAACCAATCTGCTGCTATGACTGTATACCATGTCCTGAAGGAGAGATCAGTAATATGACAGGTAAAGTCAATTGGTTTAATGAAAAACTGCATCAACTGAAAATATTTTAGTAGTAAACCAATTTTATACATGTCTTTTAGATTCTCCTGACTGCTTCCTATGTCCCAGGGAGTTCTGGCCAAATGCCGAAAAAGATGCTTGTTTCCCCAAACCTGTGGAGTTTCTTTCCTATGATGAAGTTTTGGGAATCATTCTGGAAGTATTTTCCATCAGTGGAGCCTGTTTGGCCATCATCACAGCAGTGATTTTCTTCCATCACAGAACAACACCGATTGTCAGAGCCAACAACTCTGAGCTGAGCTT